GGGACGGGGATTCGGGTCCTGCCTCAGCATCGCGCCGGGGCCGCGCTGCCCGTGCCGGCCCAGAGCCCCCGGACCCCGCTCGGTGAGTGCCCCGGGCGGGCAGCGCTGCCCGTCCCTCCGCTCCCGCGGCTCGGGGGGCACCGGCTCGGGGGGGTGTGTGGCCGAGGTGCCGCTCGGCAGGTCCGAGGGACCCTCCGGGAGGGATGTGCCGGGACAGCTGGGTGGATGGCACCTCTCCGGGACAGGTGGGGGGATGGAACCTCTCCGGGCAGGTGGGTGGATGGCCCCTCGCCGGGACAGGTGGGAGGATGGCCCCTCGCCGGGACAGGTGGGTGGATGGCACCTCTCCGGGACAGGTGGGTGGATGGCACCTCGCTGGGACAGGTGTGTGGATGGCACCTCTCCGGGACAGGTGGGTGGATGGCACCTCTCCGGGGCAGGTGGGTGGATGGCACCTCGCCGGGGCAGGTCGGGCCGTCGCGGTGCCGCGGGTCGTGCCGAGGGCTCTGTGCGGGAGCCCCCTGCTCTGCCACCCTCGGGCGGTGGGAGCGGCACGTCCCTGCCCTCGCCTCTGAAGTCGACAGAAATCGGGCTCCGTGGGTGTTGCGTCCCCAGAGCCCCTTTGCCGAGCCCTCGCTCGTTGCTTGAGTTGGCGGCGGTGCCGTTGTGAAAATAGCAACGGCTCCTCTTGGGAAAGGAGCAGATTTCTGAGTCTCATCCTCCCCGGCCCCGGCTCCCAAGGCTCTGCTCCTGCCTACGCTGACAAGAACCCTTAAAGCACCAGTGCTTTGAGTTATTGGTGAAAATCAGGGCCGAGGACAGGCAGGAAATCAGGAGGTGGAAATTTTGAGGGCTGGAAAAGCAGGGACAGCTCCATGTCCTTCATGAAGCTTCTGCCTTGGTGCCTGACCCCTTCCCCCGAGCAGGCTGGGGTGGTCCTGGGGAGCAGCAACACCTCGGGCACTGAGCAGGGCACAGCCCCCTCTCTGTGGCAGGATGCCACAGTCACCTCCCAGGGGCTGCCAGGAATCTTTCCCTTGATATCCTCCAGGAACTGGAGGTTTGCTTCCTCCTCAGGGCTTGTCTGCAGTGAGGAAGGTGCAATTGCCATCCCATGATAGTCTGCTGGGAGATCTTTTCTGACCTAACTGATTGCCATTGTGTGATTCTGTAAGAGATGTGTGTCCCACGGGTTGTGCTATGTTATCCATACACATGTAAATGTACATACACAGGAACCAGCATGTGTGGCTGTTTATCCTTTTTGTAGTTATATGTGTATATATTTATCTATAGCATTTATGGACACACATAAAGCATGGAGGGGTAAAACCACTTTGGAGTGGGATCAGTGTTGGAGCACAAAACAAACCAGAGCAGCTCAGAGAGGAGCAGAGTGAATAAATCCTATTTCGGAGTAACTTCTGTAGTGTGGTAGAGTTGCTGGTGTCTGACAAAGTCAGGTTTAAGTGGGGGTTTTCTTGTAGGAGGAGCCTCCCCTACAGACCCAGGGAGTTCTCACCTGTCCTTTCTTTCCCACTGTACTCCAACAGCGTCTCCCTTTTATCTGCCTCAGTATTCCTGGAAAACTGTTGCACCTCAGTGTCTTTGAGAGCTCTGGACCCCTGCCCGAAGCTGCTCTTGGAGCTGCTCTTGGGGACAGTCAGGCAGACACACAGGCCTGGAGTTTTTTGGAATTTTTTAGGTTTTTAACCCAGCCCCCAGATGAGCCTGAACTGCAGGAGTTGGCAGGTTGATTTCACTGCTCAGATCATGGAATTATGAAATGGTTTGGGTTGGAGGGACCTTAAATCCCATCCAGTGCCACCCCTGCCAGGGGCAGGGACACCTTCCACCAGCCCAGGTTGCTCCAAGCCCCGTCCAACCTGGCCTTGGACACTTCCAGGGATCCAGGGGCAGCCACAGCTTCTCTGGGAAACCTGGGCCAGGGCCTCCCCACCCTCCAGACAGTGTTGGGTTGGCAGGAAGGGGCAGCTCTTACCTTTGGGGAGCTCTGAGCCACCAGTGAGGACCTGAGGGACCTCTGGACAGTCTCCCTTGGTCACATCAAGTGCTGTGGATGGGTGAGGGAAGGCCCTGGCTGCCCAGCCACGTCTGAGCTGCCCCCAAGGCTCTCCTGAAGAAGGGCTGTGATTGTGCCCTCAGCTCCTGACACAGAAGGGCTGCAGGTCAAGGTGATTCCTGACACCAAAGAGTGTCTTTGCCCTGCCTGGAGGAAAGTAAATGACTTAGGATTTTCCCCAGCTCCCATAATTTACATGTTGCTTTTGCCCTGGAGCAGGAAGACGTTTGTCCTTGCTAAGCTTTGGGATTTATTGTCACGTTAGACTCTCAAACTGAGACTCTAATGAAGCAAAATCATATTAGGGCTCTAATAAATGCGTCATGGAAGAGCTGTGTGTTATTCAAAGATGAGCTGTGTTACATTTAACCCCCTGGCTCTCAGATCAGGCCCTCTGTGACCTGCGTGTTTCACATCCTACACAAGGTGCAGAAAGACTGAAGCTACAAATACTCTTTTCCTTTAATTAGCTCTTGTTTTGTGCATTTGCTGCTTTCTTCCACCCACCCAGAGAGTCCTTTTGTCACTGAGGGGGCTCGGGGACCCCAACAGCCTCTCCAGCATCTCTGCTGGGTGCTTTGTCACATAAGTGTAGGAACCTGGAATGTGTGAGGCTCAGAGGTTTGCTGAATAATTCAGGTTGGAGACACTTCAGAAGATCTCTAGTCCAACATCAGCCTCCAGACAGGGCCAGCTGTGAGGTCAGACAGGGCTGTTCATGGCTTTGACCAGTTGGGTCTTGAAAACTTCTGAGGATGGAGATGTGCAGCCTCTGGACAACCTGCTCCAATGCTTGATGGGGAAACATTTCTCATTTTATCCAGTCTAAACCCCTCTTGTTTCAGCTTATACCTGTTGTCTCATCCTCCTGCCATGCTCAGCTCTGAAGAGCCTGGTGCAGCCTCCTTGGTGCCTCCCAGGAGGTAGGGGAAAGCTGGTGGTGACTCCCTGCACATCTTCCCTTCTCCAAGCTGAACAAGCCTTTCTCCTTGGTCTCTTACTCCAGAGCACTGCTCCAACCCCACCCATCCCAGCAGACTCCTGCTGAACTCCCCGGAGCAGACACTGCTGGATTTCCATAAAGCCTTCACTCACCTCCTACTCTTGATCCCTGTGTAAAACCCCCACCATTTCCCACATTTCCCTGCCCTCCAGTCCAGACTCAGAGACCTTCCCTGGACCCTCCCCAGGGCTCTGAACCTGCAACATCTTGTGCTTTGTCTTGTGTTTGCTTGTTATTGATAAATTCACAGGCACCACCCAGGTGGGGTTTTGCTCCTCTCTCTGCACATGGCAGTGGGATTGTGAAAGGAGCAACAGCTTGGATGTGAGAGCCACTGAAAATCCTCCTTCCCATGGGGCCCATCCTCTGAGCCAGGAGCAGGAGAGGCTGAGTGCCTGATTTTCTGGTACATTTTACATCCTGGAACCCCAGAATGGTTTGGGATGGAAGGGACCCCAAAGCCCATCCAGTGCCACCCCTGCCACGGGCAGGGACACCTTCCACCAGCCCAGGTTGCTCCAAGCCCCGTCCAACCTGGCCTTGGACACTTCCAGGGATCCAGGGGCAGCCACAGCTTCTCTGGGCAACCTGGGCCAGGGCCAAGAAATTCTGCATTTGTTTCCAAGGTTGATTCCTAAATAAGAGGTATCAGAGTTAAAATGTCACCATTTTTTTCACCCAGTTGTCATCAAAAAGAATTCTTATCTTAGCAGCTTGGTCTTGGCTGGGATGATCACAGAAAAGGCATTTGCCCACTCAACAAAGCATCTCAAACTCTGGAATTTGGGGACAACTTGGAGCAGTGTTGCTCACCAGGAAGGTTTTCTCTTCCATTCTGAAGTTTTTATTTTTTTTCTTTTTCAAGAAACAATGTCCATCCATTTCCTTCATTCTAGGATTTAATGGATAAACAGGAGTGCAGTCACACTTGACACCGTGGTAACTGTGCCAGTGTCCAAACAGCACGTGGGTGCCCGCTCAGGTTGGAGGGGAGGTGGAGGGATGTGCAGCTTCTCTATTCAGTGCAGAGTCCGACTACCTGGAGTTTGTGTTGTTGGTGTGTTTTAGGTCTAGTCCATGCAAGAGCTGAGCTGGGATGGAGCAGGACTCACGTGCCACGTGGGAGTTCAATGGCTCCTTCCATCAGCCTTCAGCTTTCCTCATGCTGGGCATCCCAGGCCTGGAAGCCCTTCACCCCTGGATCTCCATCCCTTTCTGTGCTCTCTACCTCACTGCTCTCTTGGGGAACTGCATGATCCTGTTCATCATCAGGAGGACCCAAAGTCTCCACGAGCCAATGTACTACTTCCTGTGCATGCTGGCGGTCACCGACCTGGGCCTGGCCCTGTGCACCCTGCCCACCACGCTGGGGCTCTTCTGGTTCAACCTGCGCAGCATCGGCTTCGATGCCTGCCTCGCCCAGATGTACTTCATCCACATCCTGTCCTTCATCGAGTCCTCCGTGCTCCTGGCCATGGCCTTCGACCGCTTCATTGCCATCTCCCGCCCCCTGAGACACCCCTCCATCCTGACCAAGGCCACTGTCACAAAGATAGGCCTGGCCATCGTGCTCAGGGGGATGGTCTCCCTCCTTCCCATTCCCTTCCTGCTCAAGAGACTGACCTACTGCGGGAAGACGGAGCTGTCCCACTCCTTCTGCTTCCATCCCGACATCATGAACCTGGCCTGTGCAGATATAAAGGTCAATGTCTTCTATGGCATGATCATTCTCTTGTCCACGGTGGGGATGGACTTCATCTTCATCGTGCTGTCCTACATCCTCATCATCAAAACCGTCGTCAGCCTCGCGACCAAGGAGGAGTGTCTGAAGGCCCTGAACACGTGTGTGTCCCACATCTGTGCTGTCCTGGTGTTCTTCATCCCCATGATCGGCCTGTCCATGATCCACCGCTTTGGGAAGAACGTTCCCCCTCTGGTGAACGCTTTGGTGGCCTACACCTACCTCCTCATCCCCCCCGCCCTGAACCCCATCATCTACAGCATCAAATCCAGCCACATCCGCGAGGCCTTGCTCAGGGCCCTGCGCAGGAGCAGTGGGGCTGACTGGTAGCTTCCCCCACCAGCTCTGCCAGAAAGTGCTGCTGGACTGGTTTCTCAGTCAGGGACAGCAGGCTGATTTCTTGGTCAGACCTGGTTCACTGGTTTCTTGGTCAGAGCTCTTGGACTGCTTTCTTGGTCAAAGCTCTTGGACTGGTTTCTCACTCAGAGCTGGTGGGCTGGTTCCTTGGTGCTCCATCCACACAGCAGGTCACTGCCAGAGGAAAGAACTGCAGATCCACTCAGATGCTGTCTCCCAACCCAGAGCTGTGAACTTCCCTGTTGTGTCCCAGGATGATGCCTTCATCCCTTCCAGCAGCCTGTGAACACCCCAAGCATTAATGAAACATCCAGGTGGAACCCCAGTGAGGGAGACAATTAAAGAAACATGGGCTGCATGACTTTGTCTTTCCAAGTCATAGGGGGGGAATTGAGGAACCTCCATCACATGTGAGACAAACTTGTAGCAGATAACAGGGTGTGACCTTCACTGAGAGACCCTTGCACAGGACAGGGCTTGGGCCAGGAGCTGGGAGCCACCCTGGCTGTCCCAGCCCTTAGCTGTTCAACTGGAAACATCCCCCAGGGTGCAGCTCAGTCCAGAGCCTGAGCACAGAGCAGTTCTGGGCAGGTCCTGTTGAGGGGCTTGGACAGTCTCAGCCTCCATCCGTCCCTGAAGTGCTGTGTTGTGCTGCTTGAGGCTGGGGTTGAGTTAATTTAAGTCACAGGGGCTGGTGTGGGGCTGTGTTTGTTTTGTGCTGAACACAGGGCTGAGAACACAGAGATGGTTTTGTTAGTGCTGAGCTCACCAGAGCCAAGGCCTTTCCTGCCCCTGGTACAGCCCCACTGGGGAGATGGCTGGGCTGGGGGGGTGTGGGAAGTATGGAGGAAACACATCTGGGACAGGTGGCCCCAACCGAGCCAGGGGATATCCCAGTCCATAGGACAACGTGCCCAGTATATGAAGGGCAGGGGAGAAGGAGGAAGGGGGGGACATTTGGGTTGATGCTCTTTGTCTACCCAAGTCACTGTTACAGGTGAGAGGGCCCTGCTGTCCTAGAGGAGCTGAACACCTGCTGCCCATGGAAGAGGGAATTAATTCCTTGTTTTGCTTTGCTTGTGTGTGTGGCTTTTGCTTTCCCTAGTAAAGTGTCTTTATGCCAACTCACTGGTTATCCACCTGTCCCCACTCCAGTTCTCTCCCTCATCCCACTGGTGGGGCAGTGACCAAGGGGTTGCTGGGGCTTGGCTGTTGCCTGGGGTTAAACCACAAGACACGTCCCTGAAACAGCTCTTTTCCATCTCTTTTGGATGTCTTTGAGTCCCTCAGTCTTGCCAAGTATAATTAATATCCCAGTCACTGTTTTGCATTAAATGTCATGTGCGTGAGCAGCATCTTCAATAAAACACATCAATTCGTTGTGAAAGGTCACAGAACTTGATGAAGCCTTTTTTGCCTAAGATATTAGGCTGGAGTTGCTTAAAATCTTCAGGATGTGCTGTAGATGAACAGGACTGTATGAGTGAGGTGTGATTTGGGATGGGCCTGAGGGTCTGGTGGGGCTGGACACTCTTGCTGAAATAAAGGGGGCTCAAAGACATCATAGGAAGGGCTAAAACTCGTGACACTAAGGACCACATCCTACAACCTTCCAGCTGAGGTGTGCTGTGCTGGCTGTGCCCCTTGGAGGGGTGGGAGGAGGAGATGTCAGGGAGGGGACAGTGTGTCCCAGCAGCTGCTCTGCTATGGGCTGAGTCTCAGCCAGACGTGCAGAGAGAGTTCATGGTCCTCCTGGATCGTGGCCTCCCACAGACAGAATAAAATGCCCCAAAATCATGGAACAGAGTCCCAGAATCATTGAGGCTGGAAAAGCCCCCCCAGCCCATGGAGTCCACCCTGTCTGTGCCCAATGCCCACTCTGTCCTCCAGCCCAGAGCACTGAGTGCCACAGCCAGTTGTAAATATTTCACTCCTCCAAATCATGGAGCTGTATTTTTGTTCATCTTAAGCCATATTTTGTCCAGTCTTGGCCATGGTGGAGAATAGGAAGCAATGCTCAGTGTTCACCTTGGAAGGGGAGGCAGCAGAAGGTGTTGGGACAGGACCCCACACCCAAACTGGCCTGTCTCTGCCTGACATTGGGCACTTCCCCCTCAGACCAGCCCAGATCAGTGTCTTTCTTTTCTGCTCCATCCAAACAGTAGCTGGAATGGAGAGAAAAAATAATGCAGAAACATCTCCAGAGAGAGGGCAGGGAAGATTCCTGAGGGGAGGGTTCCCAGGCCACTGTGTTGTGCTCATTATCTCACTGAGTGTCCCAGGGTGTTCAGTGGCAGCCCCCTGAGCTCTGCCTGGCACAGCAGGTCCTCGGGGGCAGGTCCTGCTGGCACTGGGACAGCACCAAAGGGGACAACTCTGCTCCAACATGTGCAGAGTAACCTGGAGCCTGCAGGAGTCACATAAGGGAGTGACTTCAGCAGGAAAGGGCTTTGCTGGAGGGTTGCCTGACTCGGGCCATCCTCACACAGGGTTCTGAAAACAATGATTCAGAATTCTGAGGAGATGCTGAGATTGCTCCCAGCCTGAAAAGTTGCAGAGTTCCTCCTTGGGTGTCTGTGCTTCCTCACTGCAGCCGTTCTCCAACACAGCCACAGCCCCAGGAGCCTCTGCCACAGTAAGGAAATGTTTGGGGGACAGGGAGGGTGTGGGAGGTGTGTCAGCACATCTGTCAGTACATCTGTCAGCACAGCTGGAGAGCACCGTGGAGTGGGAATGAGAGAGGGAGAGATAAAGATGGGGAAGAGGAAGGGAGAATGGGAGAACGAGGAGGAGGAGAAGAAAGAAGGAGAAAACAGGCTGAGAGAGCTGGGGGGGTTCACCTGCAGAAGAGAAGGCTCCAGGGAGAGCTGAGAGCCCCTTCCAGGGCCTAAAGGGGCTCCAGGAGAGCCGGAGAGGGACTGGGGACAAGGGATGGAGGGACAGGACAAGGGGGAATGACTTCAAACTGCCAGAGGACAGGGTTAGATGAGAGATTGGGAAGGAATTCTTCCCTGTGAGGGTGAGGAGGCCCTGGCCCAGGTTGCTCAGAGAAGCTGTGGCTGCCCCTGGATCCCTGGAAGTGTCCAAGGCCAGGTTGGACGGGGCTTGGAGCAACCTGGGCTGGTGGAAGGTGTCCCTGCCCATGGCAGGGGGTAGATTAACTGAACTTTAAGGTCCCTCCCAACCCAACCCATTTTGTGGTTCTATGGCAAGGTGGTGATCTGTCAAAGGTTGGACTCGATGATCTTGGAGGTCTTTTCCAACCTAAATGATTCTGTGACTCTGTGATTTACTGAGAGGAGCTGCTGTGGCTGCTGCTTGGATCCCCTCAGGAAAATAAACGTGCATTTACTGGTGTTTTTAGAGACAGGTAATCTGTCTTTTACCAGTATATCCAGTTTTATCTCTACAGAAAGCCAGGCCCTCACAGCACCTGGTTCTCATCCCACCAGCAATCTCAAATCACGAGTCACTTCTGAAAACAGGGACACATTTGTTGATGCCAAAGAACCAGAGCCAAACTGCAGCCTCAGGGATTGTTTCAGTGCCTGTCTCACAGCCCCATTCCCTGGGAAGGGAATGGGAGGGCAGGGGTTGTCCAGTGGGACTCGGGCTGTAATTGCCCTCCAGGGCTGGCAGGTGAGTTGCCTCAGGTACCTGTTGGCGACTGGTGAGGCTCCTTGTTCCTAATGCCAGGGCTGGGCTGCCAGTGCCATCCCCGTGGGCACAGTGACAGCACCAGTCCACCCACGCCGTGAGTAAACTGGGTATAAAAAGCAACAATATGAGTCTTATTTGTTACAGATCCCAGATGGAAAAGCCCCACATCAGGGGAACAAAGCGATGCTATTTTAGGGCTTCACCACAGATATGCAGTAAAACCCCCACGGTTTCAAACCCCACGTCACTCATCAAATAATTGCATTAATAAACTGCAGAGCTTGTCGTAAACCCACTTTGCATCCATGATTTACACGGATTGGGCACAAAAGGAATAACCAGAAGGCTCAGGTTATGCACTTGACCTTGTGCTGTCCCTCCAGGGCAGGGGGATGGTGGGTTTGTTCTGCCACTGGTACAGACAGGTACTGACTTGGTGCCTGGGGATAGAAAAGCACCCAAAGCAAAGGTTTTTACAGACCTTCGTGGCCATTTCCTTTGGATCACAGCCCTCCTGGAAAATCTGCAGATACAGAATAAGGTGAACAATGTGATTATTTTCTTTTTCTACAGATATTCTGGTTTTTCCATACGTGTTTTCAGGCTGAAAATCCAATTTGCATGTGCAGAAAAAAGTTAAAATAGCCGATTCTGCCTGTGCCCGTGTGCAGTTCTGGGAAGGGCTGGGCCGTGGGAGGCAGCACCACCAGCTTCAGCACATTTCTGACAGGTCACTGCAGCACATATGGAAGAAATCAAGCAGAGCTGAAGTTTTACAGGAAACACTGAAATTCCGTTGGTTTTTTTTTATTATTATTATTATTTTTCATTTTGTCCTTTAAAATGAAAAGAAAACAAGTTCAGCTGAGGGGTTAATGATGTAAAATGTCGGTTTTGTGCTATTCTGCTCGTTAAGAGAGTTCAGGCAGTTCCTGTTTGAACTCAAGGCCAGCATTTTGTCACCGCAGGTGTTGCTGCACCCAGCCATGGTGGGGTGCGGGACTGGGAGAGGAGCTGCCTGCCCAGTGTGGCCGATCCCGTGGGACGCGGAGCCACGGGAAGGGTTTCTGAGGCGCTGTCTGTGTTTGCCTTGCAGGAGGTGCCCCGGCGTAGCATGAGTGTCGCCCCCGGCGTGGGCCATGCCCTTCCCCAACGGCTCTGAGCTGCGCCCGTCCTTCGTGCTGGCGGCGCTGCCGGGCCCGGAGGGGGCCCAGGCCTGGGTGGCCGCGCTGCTGTGCGGGGCCTACGCGGTGGCCGTGGCGGGGAACGGCGCGGTGCTGCTGGCGGTGCGGCTGGAGCCCGGCCTGCACGCGCCCATGTACCTGTTCCTCTGCATGCTGGCCGCCATCGACCTGGCGCTGGCCACCTCCACCGTGCCGCGCGTCCTCGCCTTCTACTGGTTCGGCACGCGGGAGATCGGCTTCGGCGCCTGCCTGCTGCAGATGTTCCTCATCCACGCCCTGTCGGCCGTCGAGTCCACGGTGCTGCTGGCCATGGCCGTGGACCGCTACGTGGCCATCTGCCACCCGCTGCGCCACGCCGCCGTGCTCACCAACGCCGCCACCGCCCGCGTCGGGCTGGCGGCCGTGGCCAGGGGAGTGCTCTTCTTCCTGCCCCTGCCCCTGCTCCTGCTGCCCCTGCCCTTCTGCGGGTCCCGCTCCCTGTCCCACTCCTTCTGCCTGCACCAGGACGTGATGAACCTGGCCTGCGCCAACACCACCCCCAGCGTGGTGTACGGCCTGGCCGCCATCCTGCTGGTCATGGGGCTGGACGCCGTCCTCATCTGCCTCTCCTACCTCC